CAGGACTAACTGTTAAGGCTAAGAAGTGTCAAATAGGCCTAAACAGAGTGACTTACCTTGGACACCAGGTGGGTCAAGGAACTATCAACCCCGTACAGGCCAAAGTGGATGCTATCCAAAAGTGGCCTGTCCCAAAGTCAAAGAAACAGGTCCAATCCTTCTTAGGCTTGGCCAGTTATTACAGGTGATTTGTACCGCAATACAGCCAAATCGCCGCCCCACAGACAGACCTAACCAAAAAGAAACAGCCAAATGCCGTTCAGTGGACCGAAGAGTGTCAGAAGGCCTTTAACCCTGTTAAAGTGACAATCATGTCTGACCCAGTGTTAAGGGCTGAAGACTTTGACAAACCTTTCCTACTAACCACAGATGCGTCCGAGTGTGGTGTGGGAGCACTTTTAATGAAGGAAGGACCGGATCAAGAATTCCACCCTGTAGTTTCTCTCAGCAAGAAGCTGTCTGAGAGGGAAAGCAACTGGTCAGTCAGTGAAAAAGAATGTTATGCCATTGTCTACGCTCTCGAAAAGCTACGCCCATATGTTTGGGGACGGCGTTTCCACCTGCAAACCGACCGTGCTGTGCTACAGTGGCTTCATACCACCACGGGAAATAACGAAAAACGTATTCGGTGGAGTTCAGCTCTCCAAGATTTTGATTTCGACATCCAACACATCTCAGGAGCTTCTAACAAAGTGGCTGAGGCACTCTCCTGTGAAAGCTTCCCAGAATCAACTGGTTAAAATTGTCCTTGAGATGTGGAAAATAGTGTTAGTCTTTACATACTTGGTAGTATACTTAGAGGTGCATGTGTCTTATTAACTTTGTTTTCTCCTAGAGCTCCAGGAAGAAATCACAGCCAGCGTTTCACCCTATCTGTGATTTGGGGGGCGTATCATAAATATAAAGGGAAGGATAAACACCTTTAAAATCCCTCCTGGCCAGAGGAAAAAGCCTTTCACCTGTAAAGGGTTAAGAACCTAGGATAATCTCGCTGGCATCTGACCAAAATGACCAATGAGGAGACAAGATACTAAAAGCTGGAGTGGGGGAGAAACAAAGGTTCTTTCTGTCTGGGTGATGCTTTTGCCGGGAACAGAAAAGGAATGGAGTCTCAGAACTTAGTAAGTAATCTAGCTAGATATGCGTTAGATTCTGTTTTCTTTAAATGGCTGAGAAAATAAGCTGTGCTGAATGGAATGGATATTCCTGTTTTTGTGTCTTTTTGTAACTTAAGGTTTTGCCTAGAGGGATTCTCTGTGTTTTCATAGAATCATAGAATATCAGGGTTGGAAGGGACCTCAGGAGGTCATCTAGTCCAACCCCCTGCTCAAAGCAGGACCAATCCCCAACTAAATCATCCCAGCATGGGCTTTGTCAAGCCTGACCTTAAAAACTTCTAAGGAAGGAGATTCCACCACCTCCCTCAGTAACTCATTCCAGTGTTTCACCACCCTCCTAGTGAAAAAGTTTTTCCTAATATCCAACCTAAACGTCCCCCACTGCAACTTGAGACCATTACTCCTTGTTCTGTCATCCACTACCACTGAACAGCCTAGATCCATCCTCTTTGGAACCCCCTTTCAGGTAGTTGAAAGCAGCTATCAATTCCCCCCTCACTCTTCTCTTCCGCAGACTAAACAATCCCAGTTCCCTCAGCCTCTCCTCATAAGTCATGTGTTCCAGTCCCCTAATCATTTTTGTTGCCCTCTGCTGGACTCTTTCCAATTTTTCCACATCCTTCTTGTAGTGTGGGGCCCAAAACTGGACACAGTACTCCAGATGAGGCCTCACCAATATTGAATAGAGGGGAACGATCATGTCCTTCGATCTGCTGGCAATGCCCCTACTTATACATCCCAAAATGCCACTGGCCTTCTTGGCAACAAGGGCACACTTTTGACTCATATCCAGCTTCTCGTCCACTGTAACCCCTAGGTCCTTTTCTGCAGAACTGCTGCCTAGCCATTCGGTCCCTAGTTTGTAGCGGTGCATGGGATTCTTCCGTCCTAAGTGCAGGACTCTGCACTTGTCCTTGTTCAACCTCATCCGATTTCTTTTGGCCCAATCCTCTAATTTGTCTAATTTGTTTTGAATCTGATTACCCCGTAAGGTATTTACCATCCTGATTTTACAGAGGTGATTCTTTTACTTTTTCTTCTATTAAAATTCTTCTTTTAAGAACCTGATGGCTTTTTCATTGTTCTTAAGATCTAAAGGTTTGGGTCTGTGTTCACCTATGCAAATTGGTGAGGATTTTTATCAAGCCTTCCCGAGGAAAGGGGGTGTAGGGTTTGGGAGGATTTGGGGGGGAAAGATGTTTCCAAGAGGGCTCTTTCCCTGTTATATATTTGTTAGACGCTTGGTGGTGGCAGCAATAAAGTCCAAGGGCAAAAAGTAAAATAGTTTGTACCTTGGGGAAGTTTTAACCTAAGCTGGTAAAAATAAGCTTAGGGGGTTTTCATGCAGGTCCCCACATCTGTACCCTAGAGTTCAGAGTGGGGAAGGAACCTCGACATGAGTACTGCCACACATTAGTTCCTAGAACTATAGTAAAGTGCTTCCTTACAAAGTAAATCCAAAGCTTGTTTAAAGAAGACAAAACTTGTCTGCTTTATTTAGGAAGATTAGCACTGAAATTGTGTATTAGACCCAGCCTGGCTAACCTCTGGTACCACCCAAATACACACAAATAAGCAGGTCAGTCAACCTGGAAAAAATATTTGGTCAGATTTGTTGCCTGAAAACTTTATTATAATTTTACAGTAAATTATTTATAATAATTACATCTAGTACTGGATCATCAGCATTCTGCGCAACTATTAGTTGTAGTACTGTGGAACCAATCATGGATCAAGGAGGCACTGTATGTACAAACAATGACAGCATGGTGGAGGAGCTCAAGGAAGCAACGGGAGAAGAACAAAGGTGAGGTTTGACATGTAAGAGTTTAAACTTCTCCATAACAAACTTAGTTGTTCAACCAGTCTCTAGTCATATTCTTGCCACCCTGACTTACTCTGATTCCCAACTCTTATTCCCAACTGGGTGGCAGGCTCTTTTAGTTGCAAGTAAATGGTGCGAGGTGGTTCCACAATAGTCAGTGCCTCCAGGTGTTAGCAGCTATAAATTCTTATCTCTACAGCTGCTTTTAGTCGATAGCATCCATTGAATTCCCCTATGAAGGAGCGTTAGGCCATAAATATTATTCAGTTGTACAGTACAGCCTACATTGGCAAGACACACTGTTCTGATGCACAGTATCCCAGGTTCTTTGCACTACGTGAATCCATCACTGATATTTTGTGAGCCAGTTAAAGAATCCTGCAGGGACCAGGATTGACAAAATATATATGTTTGCCAGTGCAACACAAAATTTAACCTGTATTTATTGCATTGCAGATGGGCTTCCAACTCCAACATTATGGATGATGGCGGATACTCACCCATCATCCTTACACTATAATATGGTACAAAATCCAGAAGAAAGGGCAGAGGAGAACAGCAAGTGAGGAGGAATACTTATAAAAAGCCTTTCAATTAGGTTAATATATTTTAAATATTATCTTTCTTTCCTCCATGTTTGCCAGTGAAGAGAATTCTAAGGAAGGGGCTGAGAGATTGTTAAATGCCATTACAAGATATTGCAACATCATATAGAAATCTTTCAAACACCAGACCTTCAAGGAAATAGAGATGACTTTGGCCTCTAATTTTCAAAATTAAAGGCTCAGACATGCTTCAGTAGCACCTACAGGAAACATTAACAAGCAAAATAAATATCTGTGTATTGTTTAATAGTGTTTCATAGATTTTAAGGCTAAAGAGGCCACCATCTTCACCTAATCTGACCTCTCCTGCAGAACACAGTTCATAGCATTTCGCCCAGTAATTATTTTTTATATATATAAAATATATTCAGGGAAAAATCCCACCAGGAAAGCTCGGATGACAAGTATAGCTATTTGTAGATGGAAAGCCTTATGAAAAGATGCTTGTTTCCCAAAATAGGACTATAATTCACACGTTTAGTAAATGCATAAAGTTATGAAAGTTGAAATTAGAAAAATAATACGCAACTTTTTGTTGTTTTTAATGAGGGAATTAACCACTAAGGCAGCTTGATAAGTAATGTGGTAAATTCACCCTCACTTGGAGACGTCAAGCTGCAGTTGGATGTTTTCTCAAAAGTTATGTTCTGTTCAACCAGAAGTTATTGGACTTGATGGAATTCACTTATGTAGTAGGGGAAAATCACTATGGACTGTGTTGTACAGGAGAGGTCAGACTAGATGACAATGGTTGTCCCTTTAGCTTTGAAGTCTACAGAAAACTGTTAATACATGCAATCATCGTCATAATTCTAATTTCTACTGGATTCTTACGTATCTTGTTTAACTGAAATCTGCGAGAGAAACTTTACTGGATGCTCTCTCCCACCACAGCCAATATGGAAGAGAGACTAACGTTTTCTAAAATGTATTCTTATATTGTGATGCTTTGCTTTTAAAGTGCCAGCACATATCTTTCCCCATCCTCCTAAGTTTTAATTATTAATTGCAGAAAAGGCTCTTGATATTATTACTGATGATTAATTTGGAGTTGAAAATTTTATGCCTGGAAATTATGCATTATTTTAGAACTAAGGCTGGGGTTAATATTGGGATGGCATTTAATCAAAAAATAATAACTAGACTTTTTTTAAAGCAGATTTTTTTTAAACACTCTCAAATGATCTGAAGGCCACAAACTTTTAAAAAGTCCAGATTTTGGGAGCCTAGATAATTGAGCTAACTGGGTGGAAAATGTACTCCTCCTTCAGTGGTTTTCACTTTATAAATGATATTTCAGACGGAAATGGAACGTTATCACACCCAATGGCAGTTTCCTGAGGAGATGAGAACTTCTCTTTGCATAAAGACACTGTATGAAAACAGTAAATGAGAAGTCTGTATCGATGGCTTGTTTTGATCTGATCTAACAGCAAATAAATTATTTCTTACCTGCTACTGAATTTGGCCGTGGCATAAGGTAAAGTGGAATAGACTGCACAGACTGGGATAAAACCGTCTCTAGGTTCCTTTCTGGGATCTTGTTTAAACTGTAGGTGGAGGCGGTCATATTTTCATCTACACGATATAAACAGGAGTCCATGCTGGATTTCTGAGACTGCCAAGGTTTCAGGTTTCCTCCAGATCCTAGTTCTTTGCTGCTCTCCCCTCCATATTTAGTGCGCTCCATGTTTTCAGAATAGCTTGTCAAAGTAGCTTGAAGGAACAAATAAAAAAGATATGAATAATAAAGAAAGAAGTAGCTGCGTACATAACAATATAAGATATGGGCAATGAAAATAACAAAAATAAAGCTGATCATATTTTCCAGCATTCTCACATAAATCAGAGATTATAGAACCTAGTGAAGCTGTCCTACTTACTGCTTTGAAAAGTTTTGCTTGACATTACTAAAAGGCATTTGCAGTTATCACGAGTATTAAAATGCTACATATAACTGTATTTGTTCAAACACACAAACTCACAGACTTATAATAAAGGCGATTAAGAACAAATACAAAGTCTGTTTTGCTCAATGTCTCAATTTTCTTCTAATATGCAGTGAGTCATAAACCATATCAGTTTAAAGTTTATAAACATGCTTGTGATAATCAACTACAGAGTATAATAAATGACAGTAGTATATTTGTTTTAGAAAAATCAACTTGGTATAAATGTTAACCCATAAGGTCACATCTGATTTCTAACAGAGCTTATGAAGCTTCAAAGGGAATCCATAAATTCACCTTTTTACTGTGTGATTACATTGTTGGTGCTACATTGTTGGGGTTTGTTTCATGGTCTCCTCCTTCTTCTTCTTTTTGACTTCAACTTGAGGTATTACTTCCACCACGATAACATTGCCAAAGCAAAAGCCTTTCAATTTTTTTTAACTTGCTCAATATCTTTCAAGTGAATGGGACAAATTCAGATCTGCTGTAAGTGCATGCTACTCCACTTAAACCAATGGGGAGGGAGGCATCTGCTTATACCAGTCTAAACTGGCCCCAGGTATCCAAATTTCTATCCTACTAATTGATAGGCAGAGAATTCTCAGCCCAAACTCATCACCCTGTTCAACTCACCCTCCACCCCTCCTGTGCTGTCAGGAAACCAGATGTCCAACTTGATCTTGAACTTTCCTATGCCTCAAATGTCTATAAATATAACTAATATAACTTTCTAAACCATTCCTCCATTGAAACTGTAACACTTTTATTTCCATTTAACCACTGTAATTACCTCTCCAAACCAAAGTTCTATGTTAATGTGTCTAAAATGCAACAAACGATTGCCACATGCCCCTGGACAACACAACATGATTTAAGCACTTTCTATTTACAGTACAAAAATCACATTTCTGTTTTCCAAAATATTCTATTATAATGCTCTGTATTCTGAAAGAGGCTTTTCTCCTTGCATTCACACAAAAGATAATTTCTGAAGGAAGAGATATGTAAAGCCATAATGGCTTGTATCTGTGTGGGCTCATTAACAACAGCCAGAGTGGTTTAATTTCTTTTATATTGGTAAAATCAAATACAAAATTACTCCAAAGAAGCATATGCTTAAGCTCTTTCTATGCCAAATTTCAAATTAAAGCAAAATTCATAAAGAGAACAGTTCCATCTCGCAAAATAGGATTTTAATGGATTTTCTTAGACAATTTGAACCACAGCATCCCAAATAATAGCATTTTGAATATCCATTAGCTTCAGTGGAAGTACTCAGGGATTAATCTGTCCCATTGTGTCTGATAATGACATTTAATATTTGTAGTGAGATAATATAATGAGAACCAGGGCTAAATATTTATAAATAAAGTCACAAGCATCACAACAAGGGGGAAAAAGATAACTGAAGGAATTAATAGTGAAGCTATTGTATTCTGAACAAGACAAAAGAAGTTACTGTGCTTGTTAGTGTCACAAGAGCTACCTGTCACTTGATTTTAGATATTTCTCTGACTTTTGAGAGTTTCAAGTGTTTAAAAACAAAAAGGATACTTGCAAGGAGATCTAATACTCCTACAAGTGCAAAGGGCAATTCAGTGCACCATGACATAGTGAAACGTCACCATTCTGCAGATCCCACTTGTCTTTGAACTGTTCAGAAAAAGGACAGAAGGGCTGATCTTACCTTTAACAAGAACAGATTGAAGTCCTTTTAGAAAAGTAAACACTGTAAAATGAGTGTAAAATATTCAAGAAAAATGCCTGGCTGGATTAAAGATCCACCAGATTATTTCAAAAAGAAGGTGGAACCTCTAACAAGGTGTGGCCAAGTGGTTTAAGCACAGGACAGAGTCAGAAACAGTTGAGTTCTAATCACAGGTCTGGCTCTAACTTAATTGGGGACCTTGGACAAATGACTTTACCACTCTGTACCTTAGTTTTTCCCTCTGTAAAATGGGGTCAATACTTCCTTATTTCAGAGGTGCTGCAAGGATTAGTTAATGTTTGTAAAGCATTTTTACGTTCAAAACAACTACAGGAGTGCTAAATATTTTATATATTCTTGCTGGCATTTAAATATAAATTTTCTGTCAGGAAAACAATTTTATATGTTAAAATGGGAAAATGAGATACAACAAGAAACAGATGTTGTTAGCAGATCCCCACCTCCAGTCACTGTTTAATTATTGGATAATATGTTTTCAGATGCCTTTTCTAGAATCTGTCTTTCATAGTCTCAGTTTGTGTTGCTGTACCATGTATTTATGTAAAAATTAATTTGTGCCAAAGGTATATATCCACATATTTCCAATCATCTTTGCAGAAACATATCATCAACTGAAGGAAATAATCTCCAAATAGCGCAAACTGTGGAAAACAAAATATCTTTACAGATAGGAACTTTAGCAATAATCTTGCTTTAAATGAACCAGCAACAGAAAATGGAAGAATAAACCCTGACGGTCACCTTCCTAACTGCTAATTTGTGTTTACCTGAAATGTAGTTTTCACTGGTTTAAAATCAAGCTGTTTTTATGTGCAAATTCTTCACTGACTCAGGTATTTGAGATTGTTCCCTGTGGGTTAATTTACCTTTTGAATGGTCTTGGATGATCTAAGTACTACTATGGAGGCTAGAATCAGTTGCTCCATGGCTTTAATCTGTTCTGTGAGCTATTTTAAACCAAAACTGTTTTCATTTTATTAAAAAGGACAAAAAAAAAAAAGACTGCTAAAACTCAGCATCCTGAATTAGTATGCAGTGCATGTCGCTGAGGAGAACTAAAACATAAGTAATGGTGCAGCAAACGGGCTGTGCCTACCATAGGCAATCAGAGCTATGAAATTACCACTTCTCAATCACTGTTTTAGAGAACACAGTTCTATTTCAGACAAGTCACACTGTCTACGTCAAATGAGTCTGTCTCAATGTAATACTACATGGAGAAAAGTTAATAAGACTTGTATATACAGGAAGCTATTTAGGCTTCAGGATGTGTTTAGCCAGTAGTGGAATACCTGCAACCAAAAAGAGAAGCATATGAGGCAATTCTTCCCCTAAAACTGCTGAATTCACAGTCTAAAGTCTCCTATGGAGAGGGCTGCAACAAGGGCGCTCCAGGACAGGTTCTTGATTCAGATGATGAGTGTGTTTAAGCACGTATCCCCATGATCTCTTACACTCACCCCTGCTGTGGATTAATTATGCTTTGCAGGAGTAATCTCCATATGCAGTTGCATGGGGACTGGGTATGCACTCTTGGAACAGATATAATGCAGATCCACAACAGGACTGCCTTTGCATCATTAAAGTGCAAACATATCCGTGCCTAAAAACACTGGGCCTGAATTTGGCCCAAGGTATTTGTTTTCCTGTTTTGGGGAGAAGATACCTCTGGAAACAGTTTGAAGAGGAACTGTTTTACAGCAAACACGAATGACATAATGACATCATTGTGGATAACTATCTGTCTGCCAGATATTTTATATATAATTATACATGCAGAGAGACAGACAAATCCTATAATCAAAGCATCAGATTATAGTTAAAATGACCCTCCAAATTATGCAAACAATTTCCCCTGATAACACAACTTTGTTAGATTAAAGAAATCATAAACAAAGTATTTAGTTTCAGAGTAGCAGCCGTTTAAGTCTGTATTCGCAAAAAGAAAAGGAGTACTTGTGGCACCTTAGAGACTAACAAATTTATTTGAGCATAAGCTTTTGTGAGCTACAGCTCATATTTAGGGTAAATCCCCAGAGATTTATTTGCTGTGTAACTCTGAACTGTGATTCTATAACTTTCACAGCTGCTATAGCCAATGAATAGGAAGTCCTAATAATGAGGAATCTGCTTCCGAGAGGGACAGATTTTTATATTAAATTGCTTAACTGTGTTAATCATGTGATGGCTGCAGGAACAGGCATGTGTTCTAGGACCATTTCCCCTACAGCGCATTAGTTTAAACAAATTGTGCAAGAGGCAACCATGGAGCAGTGAATTTCACAAATATAACCAGATTATTTACACTGTAAACTCCTTAGGACAGGAATCTCATATTCAGAAATGTCTGTAAAGTGTCAAGCAAACTGTTGCTTTCTGGAAAATGATGTGCTTTGCTATACTACCTATAACCACTGCTCTAGTCACTAGATGACACTTCCCTTCAAGAGCCAGGAACAGAACTCAGGATTCCTCAGTTCTAGCATTCTACTGCTGGGATTAGCAAGGGGATTAGCGCTTAAAATGGCCTTGTCGGGTCGAATTTGGGTTACTGTGGACGTAATTAGACGGTATTGGCCTCCGGGAGCTATCCCAGAGTGCTCTATTGTCACCGCTCTGGACAGCACTCTCAACTCAGATGCACTGGCCAGGTAGACAGGAAAAGGCCGCAAACTTTTGAATGTCAATTTCTTGTTTGGCCAGCGTGGCAAGCTGCACGTGACCATGCAGAGCTCATTAGCAGAGGTGACCATGATGGAGTCCCAGAATTGCAAAAGAGCTCCAGCATGGACCGAACGGGAGGTACGGGATCTGATCACTGTATGGGGAGAGGAACCCGTGCTATCAGAACTCCGTTCCAGTTTTCGAAATGCCAAAACATTTGTCAAAATCTCCCAGGGCATGAAGGACAGAGGCCATAACAGGGACCCGGAGCAGTGCCGCGTGAAACTTAAGGAGCTGAGGCAAACCTACCAGAAAACCAGAGAGGCAAACGGCCACTCCGGGTCAGAGCCCAAAACATGCCGCTTCTATGA